CCCCCCCCCCCTCTTAAAAACAAAGCGTTTTAAACGATTATCTTAATGCAAATTCAACCTGAACCAAGAGCAAACAGAAATTATTATTATAGCTTTTACCTCACACCTGCTTCTCGGAGAGGATAACGATTTGTGTGCTTGAAAGTTTCAAATATTTTGGAGGAAACAAACCCATTATACTCCGAGATAATTATTACCTTAAAAATATATCTGTCTTGCAACTGTTTGACCTGGCATACAGTACAACACAGAAAAAAATAACACAAAAGCTCTCTAACACAGTATGGTCAAACCAACATCATGTAAAAAAAAAAAAAGGGGGGGGGGACAGAAATGGCTGCCTTTATACACATTCGGAAAATGTTGTACCCCGCTCAATTCAGTCGAAATGCTAGTTGGGGGGATAGGCTATTTGTCTGGGGGTTTTCCTGCTTTTTGTGGATGACTTTACTAGCTACTCGTAAAATACAAATTCTCTTGATATTGAGACCTGTCTGTCATCTCAAAGTCGGTGGAAACTTTTTGTCATTTGTTTTCTTGTCAACCGAGGTAGGAAATCTACCCCATCTTTCCTAAAGAGGCTTGATCAAATGAGTAACGTCGTCTCGACCGTTCTTTGTGTTTTTGAAATTTTCAGTACGTGAACTTTGCCTGCTCCAAAATATGATGTTTTTGGTAATTCTTAGTTTCGTTTTCGTGATGAAATTTATCAGCAGGGTTCCAAAGTGGGCGTATTACATCGTCTGATTCGGAAACATCTGCGACAGACTCAAATTACATTGTTTTTCCCAAGTATCAGCGGGAGATGTGGGACAGTTCTGATGAGTCATCAAGTTAGGGGGTGCGGGCGGAGAGGGAGACGTAACTTTGGATTTATTCAATGATAAGTTTGGAACATATAAGAGATGGTGTATCTTTTCCTGTGGGTAATAATGATAAATTAGTTGTTTTCCTTTAACACTGTGGCTCTTTTTTTCACATGGAAGATATTTTATAAGTTTTTATTCGACCTTTGGGGGTTCCTTTTTGCTTTTATGAAGCTTCCCTCACATTCTGTTTAGTCCTGTTGATTAATAGTTGGAGTAGAAAGCATTTTATTCATATGGTGTGACGCATTGTGCCGCCGTTATGTGCCATTGGCCTAGTACACCGTCTTCGGCGAAGGATTTCATATTCAAGACAAGTCTCCTTCTTAGAGACCATTTGCCTTCCACGGCTAAGGGGCATGATCTTGGGAAGGTGCCCTTCCTATGTAGCCTTTCTCATAAGAGTATACCCGCAAGGCAGCTGAGGTTAAAAATTGGAGTTTTCTTTCTCCTAGACAGGGTGTTGTCCCTATCTTATGAGCTCTACCTACCCAAGTTTTGAGATCAGAGAATTCCTCCTCCTAAACTAACCACCTGCTGAACTTGTTGAGCTTAGTCTGCCCAGGTTTTAAATCAGTTTGCTTTTCCTTCTGCTAGACCAACTACCCGCTGTGTTGAGGGTTGGGCGTACGAGGAATTTCTTGAGTAGGGAGCCCTGATTGACCTGTGGTTGTGTAATTCAAGTAGGGTTCGCATCGCCCACTCCTTGCCACCAGTGACTGATGACTACAGTCATCATCTCTTGAGTACTGATCTGGCCTAGTGTGTAAATGACTAGATCGTCACGTCCTTGGCCATTACGCCATTACAAAGAGGTCCATGCTCAGAGGGCAGATCGGGTACTCCTATCTGTTTGTCCTGGTACACAGCATTTGAAGTTGTCATCTTCCTTTCAGCCGAAGGAGTTTTGTTGGTGACAGAAGTAGGGTTGCTCGGCAGATTTGACATCCACTCAAGGGAGAGTGAGATTGCATTGGTGAGAAGCATATCGTCTGCTGCACTGGGGATGGTGTGTCAGAAAGAACAGAAACCACCCTTAGGTAGGGTTGGCTAAACAGGGAGAAGCCATTTTAAACGCTTAGACATTTCTTATCTTTAAAACGAGGCCTGTCACTAATCCCTAATGCATTCTAAATGGTCCATTTTTTGTTGATGTAGGTGTTAAACATTGACAATCAAACATTAATTTAGTAAAAATTAAAATAAGAGAGAGACAAAATACAATAATCTTTCGTTATTGGTGTACTAGAGGTCAATAGAATATACCAAACAACAAAAATAAGTCTTTGTGTAACAGCAGGTCAAATGGAACCAATGAACCTAATGACTTTGATCCCAGAGTTTCGATCATTTCTTGTGCCCAAGCCTAAATCGGTTTAGAAACTCTTTAATATAATAATAAATAGACACAATGTTACTGGTTTTGTGTACATTTTCAAAATACGCTACTCCCCCCCCCCTTTTTTTCTTGTTTGGTTCATAATTTGTAGTATCCAAATCCTGAATTTATGGATCGTCAACTCTTACTGAGATTACTTTCAATTTGAGTCTGAGCACTTTGAGCTCTAAATTGGTTTCTGCTAAAAAAATGTATCATGTTCTCGTTAGCCCATCAAGATAACAAATAAATAAATGGTTTTGTTAGCTTCTTAAAGGCTTAGAAATCCTGTTTCTAGGCTGACAAGATTAAAATCTTCACCATTGCTTCGATACAATCCTGGCTTATAAAATCGTCCTTGAAAATTCCCCTGTTGTTTCAGACAATACTATTTTTAATCACACGCTGACCAAAATAATACAGAGTTTCTAACAACAAAAAAAGAGGATCTACTTAAATGGTAATAACTCGGTCACCTCTACACAAATTTTAACCAAATTTCGAACAAAGAAAAAACAAATATTGAGGACATCAGGTTTGTGGATTTGAAAAAAACCCAACCAACATAGTGTTCGAGAAATTACAAGTTTAAACATTTCTACTAAAACTGGGTTAAACGCAAAATGCTACTTCTCATAAGCGTTCAGCTACGGCGGCATGATTGGCCCGTTCAGATTTCAGGACAGTGACATTAAAACCATAACAGTCACCTCAGATAGATCTAAACGTGCCGAGAAAGTTTTGTTGAAGTTTTGGGAGAATGTGTTCTGCTGTACAGGTCTGGTCCCGGTGGGATGAGGCCTTGATGTGGTTGCAAGATAAGTTTGGGGAACGCCTTATAAGCCGAAAATTTACAAATGAATGTTACCTGCATTCTACCGTGTT